AACAACGGGTGTATGTCCGTTTTCTTCACCCTGAGAACCTGTGGTTAGTTATGAAAGTAAAGAACCAGGGTTCGGAGAATTCGTGTACCTATGCCTGGGCTGTTTAAAATAAACTTTGCGAACCTATCAATATGCGGTCGGGCGTTTGAAATTTACACACCTTACGGGTCATTGTACATAATTGTGACAAAGAATTTCCCTTGAGGCTGGAAACGCGATAGACCCATAACGGACAAGGTGGGCAGGCTTATGCGGTATAGTACTTCGGGGGAAATGGCAATTCTGTTGACTCATTAGGTAAATGTGCCCTAATGGACATTGGAAGGATAGCTACGGAGCATCCGGCACATAAAGGAAAGGCAGATAGTGGAATTGGCCTGACCGAAGCGGTACTGCAAAATAAGCAGGCAATATTGTCGTAGATAATCTAGTGGTAACACTGTCTGGATTTAGTATTGATCCGGCAGACCTGTTTTAAAAAGAACATGAGTCAAAGCAGCATCAAGGAGTGGTAACTACAATTTAATATTCAACAACGCTTTCTTGATACCGCAGCCCTACGGCTCCATCAGTCGGAGACATAACGCATTCTATATCTTTGTGAGCATTCACGGCGTACATTCTAAAGCCTTATGTATAGCAACATTCATCACAGCCAATCCAATTGTCTCTCAGTCATAACTGCGCCACGTAACAAACAACTGTTATTCATTCTAACCGGTGCACAACGGGTCTCGAAACTGCACCCTGCAGACCGGAGCGTCGAAAAATAATTACACATCGGCCCCCAAGGCAAGGACTTCATGAAGGCCACACTCGAATGCCTTAGAACCAATCACGATAACTCTCGTACGGGATCGGCGGGGAAGGACTTGGGTTGCGATCCTCCAAGAAAGTCGTATACATCAGGCCTGAGAGAAACGGCAACAATCTGAGACAAGAACAGCAAAAGAAACTCCTTTCCGGTATGCATATTATAGATACACATCCAAGGTGTTGGCTGTATGGGTAGGACACTGCATCCATTGAAAAATCCCGTGCGCACTACTTCAGGGAACACTTGGTATACATCACATCCTCCTCGTCTGCCTGCAGTGTGAATATAAATAAATTACCACAACTGGTTATGTTAATTCAACCTCACAGACTACGCAACCTTATCAGACCGAGCTCGGTCCAATAACCAATAGACTAAACAACCAGTGGCTTCAACATGCAATATAATTGACTGGGCATTA